CCCTACACCCTGCTGCTAGTGAGGAGATCCAGTGTATACCAAGGGCTTCTCGCTGGAGAAAGTCGACCCTCGTCCTTCTGACAGGGGAGAAGGTACGACTGGATGACGGCTGAGGATGTGCTATGGAGCCAGGATTCAACTGCTCTGAGCTCTGCGATGGCAGCTCCAGTTTTGGCAGCCCGGAGCAGCCACAGCGAGCGCTGCAGGAGCTCTGCACCATCACAGTGGTATGTACAGAGGCGGGGGAGCGCTCTGGGGCGTGAGTTTTGCTCCACAGAAGTGGATTTGGGTGGAGGGACAGAGAGGGGGGCACAGGGGCGTAGCTGCCAAGCAATCCCAGTCCAGCCAGAGTGTGCACGCTGTCACCTCCTGGGATGACCTCCAAGACAAGCCCTGCCTAGATGACACTCAGCAGTTAGGCAGAAGGTGAGGAAGCAGCCACGACAGCCAAGTCATGTCAGTCAGCCCTCCTGTGTGTCGGCTGGCGTGACAGCTGCTTAGGAGTGGTGTGGGACGGCTTCCTTTGCCCTTGACCTTTCCCATCTCCTGGACCTTCAAAGTGCTTTACAAATATGAATACATCAGGATTTAATTAAAAGCCATCATCTGTAATAAATGGTAACTCTTCCCCCACCAGTAAGTCAGTAGAAATTACACCGGGATGCAGAGTTGTAGTTGGCTCGGTGTGGGCTGCCGGATGGACCAGCAAGGTTTGGCCCACTCAGTTCTCCACTGTGTCCTGCATGACCACAGGCCTTTAATTAGAAGACCGTAAGCTGCTTGGCTCCTCTGGCTCTGGCAGCTGCCTTGCAATTAATATTCCCCCTGCTAGGGCCAGGATTTGCTATGCTCAGCGGCAAGTGAGGCACTCCATCAACTTCAAGTAGCATCAACATCCAGGAAAAAAGCAGTTGGGGTTGGGGGGAGGTGTTGGAAAAGGAAAGGTGAAGACCACAAGGGTGTTTCTGATCCCTGGGTGGGTGCTGGGAAGAGTAATGCTTTTGGCAGCAGCCAGAGGTAGAAAGATACTGCTGGTGGATGCAGCTGGGAGTGAAGTGTGGGAGCCCTGGGATGCTGAATCCACCCTGGTCACCTTACTGGCAAAAGCCGGGTGTTACCCTCGGGCTTGACCAGGCAGGACATAGAAACAGGATGGTGTTACAGCCTCATACTAGCCCTGAGCAGCCCCATCAGCCCCTCTGGGCTCCAAGCAGGTGGGAAGATGGCCTTGATTTGTGCTGAATGGTGGGGTTTTTGCACAGCAAGTCTTGGCATAAGGTGAGAGGGTCCGACCTAGCTGACTATCTCCACAGTCTGCCGTGGTCTTCATTTCCCAGGGAGCCAAAAGACTCCCTGGGGTATGAGGAGAGGGAAGAGGAGGTGGGGAGCAGTTTGCAGTGGGAAGATGATTATCAGCAAAACGGGGCTGAGCTGTTCATGCAGCTGTGTCCCAAAATAACACAGCAGCAGCAGCGTGTCTTGGCTTAGCTGTCTCTCCCAGCCAGGGGTTTGCTGTACCCAGCAGCCCTGCAGCCAGCGTGGCACCAGCATGTGAGCTGCCAGGAGCCTGTTGATCAGCTGTGCTCGTGTGGCGGTGACACATTTTTAAGAATTACACGTTGGCTTTAATTTTCCAAGCTGTGCCTTGTTTTTGTTCGTCCAAAGGACATGGAGCCCAGCTGGGCAAGGGGGAGATGAGGCATCAGCTCAAAAATGCTGCCTTACTTCTTCCAGGAGATTTATTTCTAGCAATGCTGGAAGCAAACACAGCTCAGGTCTTGAAGAAAGAATTGGGAGTTTGGAGTAGTAGCAGCTGCTGGGAAAATCGTCTTTTGCATAGGAATTGAGTAGAGGTGAACTGGAATACCTGAGAAAAGACTTAGACAGCACCAGAGACGTTAGTGAGGAGCTGTGCAATCCCAGCTCTAGTCTCTGTCCTTCTCCTTCCCCTTAAAGGAGATGTGCCAGCACTTAAATAAAAGTAGAGCTTTTTTTTTAAAAAAAAAAAAGAATTGTCAGTAACATGCACACATAGTATGCATGAACAGACCCACACGTGCACACCCTGTTAAATGTGGGAGTATTTTAAATCCGCAGCGGAAATAGGTTTCTTGTTTCATAGAGGATCACTGTATCCATCTTAGGTTAATAGGGAGATAGCAGAGAATATTTCCAAATGGAGATTTAAAACCATAAGGTTTGTTGTGTGCAGAGAGAGAGGTGCCTCCATTATGCACACTTTAGGAGTGTCCCTCAAAGCCAGTTCTCTGCTGATGTCTGCCCAGGACTGAAGTTAGCTTCCAGCCAGCAGGGAGACGGGTGGAGCCGAGCTCTGTGTGTCACTGCCCAACGCATCTGAAAAACGCTGTCCCACTCCCTTTTCTGCATTTTCTGCACCAACTGTCAGCTCTGCTGTTGGCTCCCAGTCACGTCAGCCGGCTGGTTGGTTATCTGCTGCATGTAGAGTTAAGGCTGGAAATGGCTGGCCAAGGTTGCCCTACCTAACTTTCCAAAGAAGTGTGCTAGAAACTGGGGTACCACGAGGTCTGTCTCCAGAGGTTTCTTTCCAGAGAAAGACAGTGAGGAACGGTTGCCCAATTTCCGCTCTCCCACACCCAGGGCTGCCTGAGATTTATGAGTTGTTTCATTATGTATTTGGCTAGCTGGCTGCAAGAAGAGGGCTCCTGGACTGCCCTCTCCTGCTGTGTGCTCAGCAAGTGGCAAGAGTATGTGTCTTGTCTACACACATCTCCTTAGCCCTGCTGGTGGGTCTTAGTCTAGTGCTGGGGTGCCTGCTCATGAGGAGGGGTTTGGGAGATGTGGTTTTAAGTCCTTTCTGGCCTGAGCAGGAACACCCATGTGAATGACCATGCCAGCAACATACTCATCCTCCTCACCCATTTTGCCTCCCTCAGACATCTGACCGCAGTGGCAAGAGCTCCCCGTCCTTCTCTGCTGCTCTCCTGGGAGTTGTGTGGACATTCCTGACTGGAGGAGTCCTGCTAGCGCTCTTCTTTCTTGTCTTCACAATTCGCTTCAGGAAGAACAGGTAAGGGCTTCCCTCCTCTGCTGTGAGACCTTCTGCAAGCTGGGGCAGTGGGGTTGGGCTCCTTCAGGACCAGGCTCTGAGCTGATGGCCAGCTAGGATCAGGAGGGTACAAGCCTGAAGAAACAGCACAGGGCAAGCAAGGGCAGTGCTGGGGATACTGCAGCTTTCTCCATCACACCCAGTGTTGATCACTGGTGTAAACAGAGATCTGATTGCAATTATGGAGACATGGTGGGATAGCTCATATGACTGGAATGCTGTCATGGATGGCTTTTTCAAAGATTTGGCCTAGTGCCATGGTTTAAGCCCAATGGGCAACTGAGCACCATAAGGCCATTCATTCACTTCTCCTGCCCATATGAGATGGGAGAAGAAAAATAAAACAAAGAGTTTGTGAGCCAAGACAAAGGACAGGGAGGGTTTACTCACCACTTACAGTCACAGGCGAAAGACTCATCTTGGGGAGAAAAATAAATAGTTGAATTCATTATCAGTAGCATCAGAGTAGAATAGTGGGAGATACAATCAAATCTTAGAGTCATCACCTTCCTCCCACCCCTCCCTTCTTCCTGGATTCAGCGTTGTTCCTGATTTCTTTACCTTCCCTCAGGCGGTGCAGGGGATGGGAACAGGGGTTGCAGTCAGTTCATCCCATGATGAGGTTTCTGCTGTTCCTTCCTCTTCAGGTGTAGGGAGAATCATAGAATCATGGAATTGTTTAGGTTGGAAAAGACCCTTAAGATCACAGAGTCCAACCATTAACACTGCACTGCCAAGTCCACCACTAAACCATGTCCCTCAGCACCACATCTACACATCTTTTAAATACCTTCAGGGATGGTGACTCCGTCACTTCCCTGGGCAGCCCATTCCAGTGCTTGACAACCCTTTTGGTGAAGAAACGTTTCCAAATATCCAGTCTAAATCTCCCCTGGCACAACTTGAGGCCATTTCCTCTTGTCCTATTTCTTGTTACTTGGGAAAGAGACCGAAATGCATCTCGCTACAACTTCCTTTCACAGGGAGCTATAGAGAGCAATCCTCTTCTCCAGGCTGATCAACCCCAGTTCCCTCAGCTGCTTCTCGTAAGGCTTGTGCTCCAGACCCTTCACCAGCTTCGTTGCTCTTCTCTGGACATCTCCATAGCCCTCCCCTGCTACCAAAAAACAAAACCCCTCACAGAAACCCGATACACCTAGCAGTGACCTCCACCAGCTCCCTCAGTACTTGTGGGTGCATCCCATTGGGCCCATGGATTTATAGATGTCCACTTAACTTAGTTGTTCTCTAATCCAATCCTCTTCAACCAAGGCAAAGTCTTCCTTTTTCCTGACTTCCTCTGTGGTCTCGAAGGTCTGGAACTCCTGAGGGCTGGACTTAGCAGTAAAGACATAGGCAAAGGAGGCATTCAGTAACTCCGCCTTCTCTGTATCATCCGTCACCAGGGCACTCACTTTGTTCAGTAGCAGGCCCACATTTTCCCTAGCCTTCATTTTGCCTCCAGTGTACTTGAAGAAGCCTTTCTTCTTGTCCTTGACCTCCCTTGCCAGGTTTAATTCTAAGGAGGCCTTAGCTTTCCTTGTTGCATCCCTTCATCCTCCAACAATGTTCTTGTATTCCTCCCAAGTGGCCCCTTCTTCCATGTTCTATAAACTTCCTTCTTCCACTTGAGTTTATCCAGTAGCTTCCTGCCCAGCCATGCAGGTTTCCTGGCTCCCTTACTTGATTTCCTACTCATAGGGATGCTCCAATCCTAAGCACGGAGGAAATGGTGCTTGAATGTTAACCAACTCTCTTGAGCTGCCTTAGCTTCTAGGGGGCTGAACCTAATTTCAACCCTGAAATCCAGAGTTGTGATCCTGCTTGTTTCTCTGTGACTACTGCACATGATCCTGAACTCCACCATCTCATGGTCTCTACAGCCAAGGCTGCCCCCAGGGTTCATATCCTCAACCAGTCCCTCCTTGTTTGTCAGTACAAGGTCCAGCAGCGCTCCTCTCCTTGTTGGCTCCTCCACCACCTGTGTCAAGAAGTTATCATCAGTGCACTGCAGGAACCTCTTGGACTGTGCATGCTTGGCTGTGCAGCCTTTCCAGCAAATGTCAGGGTAAATAAAGTCCCCCATGAGAAACAGGGCCTGTGACTGTGGGGTTACTTTCAGCTGTCTGTAGAACTGCCTGCATCCCAGTCTCAACCACTTGATTTACTGAAGCAGCGTGGTGTTGAGTTTGGTGGTCACCTTAATTGATTACCAAATTAATTAGGTCCGTGAAGATACTCTCAGAGCGAAGCTGTTACGAATGTGTGTTATTTATTTGCACTGCAGCAAATTAATACGGCTCTGCCTTGGGAGTGAAAGGAGACCTTTTTTGTCTTGCAGCTGAAGGGGTGAGCTGGTTAATGTCTTTCCCTGGGCTGAGGCATGGTGAGAAAAGCAGGGAGGGAGAGAGCCAGGTTGAATCCCAGGCTCTGCATTGCTTCAGAGGCAGCAAGAAGCAGGAAGGAGCTCAAGGGTAAAGCAGCAGATTGAAGGAATGGAGCTATATGGAGAGATGGCAAGAGCTACAGCTTTCACTTGATGCGCTTGCTGGAGAAGGGTGACAGGTCAGGAGAGATCGGTGGGTCGATTCTCCCCTCCCTGAATGCAATTACAGCATTATGAGTGATGGAGTGAAATTACAGAGGGGAAGCTGTAACCTGAACATTGCTGGCAGCTTCTTGAAGTTGAGACTGTGCTGAGGGTGGAGGTATCTCCTCAAAGGAAGAAGCAGTGGGAAGAGTCTTTTCCTGGAGGCATTTTTAGCTGCTGTACCCAAAGTGTACCACTGGTGAGCTTTTCCACTTCCACCCCTTTACAGCAGAGGACAATGGAGGAGGATGTTGGCCTTGAACCTGGGGTGCTGGGCTGGGTGTTGTGCCATATGCCACCTGCGTGACTGTGGGGTAATGCTTCCCCTGGCCCTGTGCTGCTGGCAGGGGCATGGGTAGCAAAGAGACCCAGCTGTGGTGACCCCGCCTGCTTTGCTGCTAAAAGCCCATGGCTTCCCACAGTTTTGTCCATAGGGACGCTGGCTGAAGCTGGTTCAGGGATGCTTTTCTGTACCACAGATCCATGCAAGGGATAGAGGTGTCATGGAGCAAGTCTGGTACCCATCCATTTTGGGGAGAAGGTATCTTACTGTCCCACAGGAGTGTCAAGGTAGGGCAAAATGAAGTGCTTCAAGGATAGTGAAGCACTTCAGCAGTACAGGGGAGAGGATGGGGTGTGCACCATGGAGCAATGGCTGTGCTTTTGGAGGAGCTGTGAACAGCAGGGGCTCAGAGGTGACAGCATGTCAGCATTTCTTATGGCTATCATCATCCCTGTAAGGGGACCTTGCCCTGTGCTGCCAGGTGATGACGCTCACTAACTGTCACCACCTTCCCTGCTTTGTTTCCTGGAGGATCGTGAAGATGTCCAGCCCCAATCTGAACATTGTGACCCTGCTGGGCAGTGGCTTGACTTACACTAGTGCTTACCTCTTTGGGATTCCAGAGCAGAGCCTGCCATCCAGAGACTCAGTGGAAAAGCTTGTTCAGGTGAGCTGGGGGTTTTGCTGAGATGGGTGCCTTCACACCTGCACACATGTGCGTATACATGCACGTTTGTCCATGCTGTCTTTTGGCTGCAGCCTGTCACCACCTTGCTGCTGGGCTGTGGTTTCCACACGTGCAAAATGCAACCAGATGCTTTCTGTCTGAACAGCCTTTGCTGTTTGTGCAAACCACAGGGTGGGATGGACACAAGGCAGGTCCCCAGGGGAGAGGGCAGCACCTGCGGCAGCAGTTACACAGGCGGGTGGGCTGCTGGGCTTGTACAAGTGCAATAGGGAGAGGGGAGCCTGAAGGGAGATGGGATCCTCTGTGCAGCCCCTGCCTGGCATGGCACAGGTGCTGCGAAGTTGTGGATGAGTTTTTTGGCTGCAAAGCAGATCTTTATCAAAATACGGCCCTGTGTGATGAACCCCTGGGGCAGCCACCCTGCCAGACCAGGGACTGGGCATGCACCCAGGTGGGAGAGTGGGAGGTGAGAGAGAGCACGCTGTGCGTCCTGCTCGGCCTCTGGGCTGAGGGTAATTAACGGAGGTGACAGTGAGTGATTTATTGGTGCTGGGACCTTCCATGCCCCTGCCACTCACAAGCTGCCTGGCTTTCCCTGCCGGCTCCTCCAACCAGAGCCTCTCAGGGTGAGGAGGAAAATCACAGAATCTCAGGAGTTGGAAGGGACCTCAAAAGCTCATCCAGTCCAACCCCCCTGCCAGGGCAGGATCACCTAAACTAGGTCACACAGGAACGCGTCCAGGTTGGCCTTGAATGTCTCCAGAGAAGGAGACTCCACAACCTCTGTGGGCAGCCTGTTCCAGTGCTCTGTCACCCTCACAGTAAAAAAGTTTTTCCTCATGTTCGCATGGAACCTCCTATGCTCCAGCTTGCTCCCATTGCCCCTTGTCCTGTCATTGGACATCAGAGAGAAGAGCCTGGCTCCCTCCTCCTGACACTTGTCCTTTACAAATTTATAAACATTAATGAGGTCACCCCTCAGTCTCCTCTTCTCCAAGCTAAAGAGACCCAGCTCCCTCAGCCACTCCTTGTAAGGGAGATGCTCTACTCCCTCGATCATCCTTGTGGCCCTGCGCTGGACTCTTTCAAGCAACTCCCTGTCCTTCTTGAACTGAGGGGCCCAGAATTGAGCACAGTATTCCAAAAGGCAGGCAGCAGGCATGTCTGCAGAGGAATGCACACCTTTCATTTCTTTCACCCTGTGGCCAGCTTTCTAGTATCCGAAATGACCCTCCAGAAGACCACAGACACATCCTCACCTACCTTTATTGGATCTCATCTGGGTAAGAGGGTGCGGGGTGTCCCTGCAAGCCCCACGGCTGCCCCTTCAGCCCCCTCACTCTGCTTCCCCCCTGCAGGTGCGGCTCTGCCTGCTGTGCGTGGGGACCTCCCTGGTGTTTGGCCCCGTCCTGGGGAAAAGCTGGCGACTGTACAAGGTGTTCACCCAGCGAGTACCGGACAAGCGGGTGGTGAGTACACAGCACACAGGGGAGTAGGGGGAAACTCCTCAAGGGCGGCAAACACCAGCAAGTCCCAAACCAGTGCAGAATAGCACATAGAACCAGCATATGACAGGGATAGGTGGCAGAATCGCAGCTGTAGGGTGCCAGAATCACAGCTCTGGTTTAACACCCAGCTGGGCATGGGCTCCTCACTTATTCCTGCTCAGTGAGACAGGAGCTTTTCCACTCTACAGCCCTGCCAGGCTGCCTGTTCCCCCATGGAGTCCCAGTCCCATCACTGAGCAAGGTCTTGTTCTCATTCTACGTTGTCCATGTGCCTTCATTACGCTACACAGTGGTGATTGTGTCCAGGTCTGTGCTAATTGTTTTTGCTGAATGAAAATAAACCAGGTATCCTCATGGGCATCTGACGTAGGACCATCCCCAGACACATCTGATCTCCTCTTGAGGGGAGGGAGGGAGTGCTGGGTACTCCTCTGCAGCACTGAAGGAAGGGGATACAGCAGCTGGGAGTGCTGTATATATATTCCACCTATACGAATTTGTGCACATAACAGTGCACTTACAGCTTTCAGTGGCCACTTTCCAATGGTAAAAAAAAATAGACTCCCATTTCTGAGGCACTGGGATCTGTGTTAAACTTGAAAATTACATTCCCCACCCTTTTTGCATTTGCTTGTGATATGGGCATAAGGGATGATACTCTCGTTTTGGCAGAGCTGTTTTGAATCATAGCATTTACCAGCTAGCCACACCATTAGGGAGGGTTTCTACCTAGCCCAAAGCCTGATTAGGTCTCCAGGAGTTTAGGAGCTGAAGACAGAGATCCTGTGGCTGACTGGGATGTAGGTGAGCTGCTGGACTCCACTCTGGGGGAATTATTAGGATGGACATATTCCTTGGAAGAAACAACGAGAGACCCAGGAGACAGAGGTTATTGGCATCCATTTGCCCCCAGCGGTAATGCTTGCTTCTTGCATGTTTGCAGATTATCAAAGACCTCCAGTTGCTGGCAATGGTGGCAGTGTTGGTGCTGGCAGATGCCGTGTTGCTCTTGACGTGGGTATTCTCTGATCCAGTCCAGTGTTTCCGAAGCCTCAGCGTCTCACTGCGGGTAAAGGGATGAGGAGGGGCGGTGGAGTGTTGCACCATGTCCCATCAGATTTCTGTGGGCAGTCAGGTATTTGGAGGTGCTGTTTAAAAAAAAATAGAAAGAAAAACAAGCTAGAAAGCTGCCTGCACACTTTGGGTTGGGTTTATGTCTGGTTTGTTATAGAGATGAGAGTCTGCTGCAAAATTTCCAGATCTGTGCAGGTCACCTGCATGACACACGAGAGGTCCTGCAGATACACACAAGCACCTGCAGATGCTTTGGAGGAAGGTTTAACCAGCCCTGTTGGCAGCAGAGTGCCAAAATCTTCCTCACTTTAACCTTCTGCCCCTGGCAGCATCAGCTTTGGCCTTTCCTTTTAGGAATTTCAAGAGGAGACCCGCTTAGATGTGTTGACCTGTCTGCCCATCAGTCTGTGCCTGCTCCCAGGCCGGGCAGCACTCTTCACTTCTGCCTTCCCTTTGCCTCCTAGGCGACAGAGAAAGGCATGAGCTGCTCAGTGAGCCGGGTGCAGTCCTGTGCATCTCTTTATTCCGATCTCTGGCTCGTTCTCATTTTAGGGTTTAAGGTACGTAACCTCTTTATTGATTCTTGCATCGTATCTCACCTCCTCCCAGTCTCACAGCCTGAACTGTTTAGCAGCATTCGTGGTTTTGCTGCAGCTCCCAAGTCACATGCCTATTGCAGATTCCAGCTACTCCTGTTCATCTTGAAAGCCCTCCCATTTCTGGGCCTTCCCATCTTGATGTTTTCTTGCATTCCCTTGTAAAAGCTCTGTTAGCCCCTTTTTCCCGGTCTAACCATCTCTTTTACCTACATTGTGCACATGCTGTCTCTCTAGTTCTCTTCCTTCAACCCCCCATGCCTCATCTATGTCCCTTCTTAAAACTTGTGTCTTGCTGTTTTCTGAAGCACGCTTTTTCCTTAAAGCCTCAGATGCTCAGTGATGCATCTCAGCCTGAGTCCTCTGACTCTAAATCAAGGAGATGCTGCTGACAAGTGCTTGGTGTCTGCCTTTGCAGGATGTGTATCAGCTTAATTATACCACTGAGGTACACTTTCACTGGTGTAGCTTCGCACATGGCCGTTCTTATTCCAGCAGAGTTAGTTATACTGATGTAACTATGTAGGTATAATTATCGCTGTAATTATCTGTGGTCTCATGTGTCTCTGGGTTGACGGAGGCTGGACGCATTTCAGAAAGCTGATGTTGATGAAGCTTGTGAGATCACAGCCTTTCTTTGGGAACGGCTCCATCTCTGCGTGCAGTGCAGGCAGTTCCTTTCTGACTCACTGTAATGTAATACTCATTGACCATCTACCCAGACTCATAGGAGAAAGAGCAGAAAGAGACCTCATGACATGGCCAAGTCCCTCTCGCCCCTCTACTTCATTTTAAAGACATTAGTCCAGCCTGTCCTTAAAAGTCCTTTGGTGCTAGGAGTTGCAGGCATTCCCTGGGCTTTCAGTGCTGTGTCTCCACCTCTGATTGTCTGCAGTTTGTGTTAGGGTTTAGACAGGTAATGCTTTTACCTACAGCTCCTACAGACTGCTTTCTGAAATAGAACATCCCCGTTATCAGTCCCAGATACTCTTAGTTGGCGTTGTGTTGAACCTGAACCTGATCCTATCTACGTACCGGGGGTCATGGAGTTATTTCTTTACTGGTTTTCCTGGAGTTAATCTGGATTTACACTCATGTGAGAGTAGGCTCTATCTCTGTGTGTACGTAGCACTTATCTTCCACAGTGTTTATGTCCTTTGTGAAGCCGCTCAGTGTATTATCCTGGTTTTACTGGCACAGAGCAATGAACAGAAATGACTTGCCAAGGACGTGTCTGAAATTGGGAGCGAAGTCCTCTGCTAGAGATTAAAACAAACAAACAAACAAACAATTTAGTCCCGTGTTTACTGAAAATCCTAGTTTGCCAGACGGCAATGCTGTTGTCTGTCCCAGATAGGCAATATGAATTTTAAATGGGACATTGGTGACGGTTTTTTTTCTTGCTCAGGGATTAGGAGTTGGTTTGCCTTTGGCCATGTATGGGGTTATGATCCAGTGCAGATCCTGTGAAGCAGGGTTGGGCATCAGCCTAGTCCTCAGTGAGACAGGTCTCACTATTACAACCCCTTCTTGAGAATTCATGGTGCTTTGTAGCTGGGAGTCTTACCAGAGACAGTGGACGTGAACCTCTCTTACCTTTACGAGTGTCCCTCCAGACCCTAACCCTGGCAGTAGTCATCACTGTCATCAAGGAGCCTCAGCACAGAGGGATCCAGAAAGATCTACAGAACATATGCACCATGGGTCACAAAGCACTTCTTGATGCCCAAATAACAATTTAATGTCTCTTAGTAAAAGACCAACAATTGCACTTATTGGGTAGCACAGTAAGAGTCTGTTCAATAATGTAGGAGTCATGTTCCCTGTATTTGGGGTCCTTGAAGGAGCAGAGATTTTATTAGTTGGTATTTCCAAATGATCCTGAAAGCAGACTATGCCCTGCACTACAGAGGTGGGCAAAAAATTCTTGGTGTTTCCTGCCAGTGTGCCCTGGGGAAGGAGGGATTCAGCCTGTGAGTGGTTTAATCCTGAGCACACTGGAAAGATGCCTGTGTGAGACACTTGAGGGGTAGTGTAGTGAGGAGCCTGCTCTGAAACAGCCAACCCACCCTGGAGGAGGGAGAGCCCCTGTGTACAGAGCATTTCTCTAGCCCCTTTCACCGCTGCTAGAGTCAGGCAGGAAATGGTGAAGGGAAGGAAGAAGAATTGCACCTGGTAGTTTCCTGGATTTCTATTTAAAGAGGCACCAAGTGCATCCTCTTCCCTCCAGTCTAAACCTCCATTTCTTCTGCCTTACCTTTTCCTTCTGAATCTCCTTCCTGCTCCTTCAGAGGTATATCTTTGCTCCTTGATGGCACCCCACCACTGCATCCCCACAGGGACCTCTGTCTCTTGTCTGTCCACCTTTGCTGCTCCTGCTTCAGGCTGCCCAAGTGTGGGTTTTCACATCTTGCTACTCTTGACTGTGCCCTGCTCTGTGGATCACCTGCTGACCTGACCCTCTGCTCCCCACGCCCCTCGGCCAGGACCCCCACAGCTCACCAGCACCTTCATTCCTGCCCTCCTTCCCCAGCCCCACTTTGGACCTGCAGCAGCGTGCTGGGCGTTTGCTGCGGTGTCACCACCACACACTGAAAGTCTGCATTATAGATCAAAGAGCATTAATTAGGATTGTGCTGAGTGTATCTGAGCTCACCGGATTTGGTACGAGGTGCGGGTTGACACCACCAGGCTGTAATTTTCCACACTCTGGAAACCTCTCTTTTCTGCTTCCAGAGTATCCTCCTGCTGTATGGGACCTACTTGGCTGGTCTGACCGACAATGTCAGCTCCCCACCAGTCAACCAGTCTCTGACACTCCTTGTCGGGGTCAACCTCGTTTTCCTGGCTGCCGGCACTGTCTGCTTAGTCCACCGTTTCTTCCGTGCTTGGCACAACTTGCTGTTTGGTTTCACCTCTGGAGGTATCTTCATGTGCACAACCACGATCAACTGCTTCATCTTTGTCCCACAGGTATGCTGCCACCTCTGTCCCACCACCTGGCTGGAAATGGGCATGTTTCTGGAGTTTAATAACAGCAGCTGTCTGGGCTGAAGCACTTATTTTTCCGCTTCTTCCCCCAAATGTTTGGACTCACCTGCACAGCTCATCCTCCAAGCCCCAATGGCCCTGCTTCCCCAAGCAAGTCCCCTGAGTCTCCAAGTAGTACAGGCACCTTGCAGAGCTGATGCTCAGAAACCCTCCTGCAAGGGCATGCTGTGGCTGGCAGCCACACAGAGGGCACATGTGGAGGCGAGGCAGCTGCTTCCCTCCTCCCCCTCCATGTTGGTGGTTGGATCAGTCTTCCATGCAGTTGTCCTCTCCTCATACCCCACACACCCACTCCCACCAAGGGCTCCTGCCCATGACAGGGATGGAAGTGGGCTCTGGCAATCCAAGTGGCCTTGGCAGGCTCCGAGGCTTCATGGCTGCTGGTGGTCCCTGGGGAGGCTGTCCTCCTCTGCGCTCTCAGAGGAGGAAGCTGGGCTTTGCTGCAAGTGAGGGGGAGGACACAGAGATGTTCTGAGGAAGCCTTTTGTGGCAAGGCAAGGCTCTTCTGCTTCCCATGTCCTTCAGGAGCAGCCACGACGTTAGTGGGAAAAATGCTCCCATTGTTATAGGGAGAGGAAACAGTTGTTTACTCAGTGTTATGTTTGGAGGGATGTTTGGGCTCAAGGAAATGAGGTGAGAAAGGGAGGAAGAGGTGAAGCTGAAGAAAGAGCAAATCTGTGTGAGAGAGGCCTCAGGGGATCTTACCAATGTGCATAAATACCTGTGGGGGTGGAGTAGGGAGGGGAGAGCCAGGCTTCTCAGTGGTGTCCTCTGACTGGACTGGGGACAATGGGCACAAACTGAAACACAGGAAATTCTGTTTAAACATCAGAAAAAGGGGCTTATTTTCTGTGAAAGCTGCTAAGCACTGGAGTAAGTTGCCCAGAGAGGTTGTGGAGCCTCCATGCTTGGAGACACTCAAGAGCCAGCTGGACACAATCCTGGGCAGCCTGCTTCAGCTGACCTTGCTTGAGCAGGGCAGTTGGATTAGGTGATCTACAGGGGTCCCTTCCTCCCTCAGTCGTTGCAGTGTAACTGCAGAGTCCCAACTCACTAGATGACCAGCCCACAGGCGCAGGATCCAAACCTCCCCTGACAAGCACCAAGCCTGCTGGCAATGCTCTGCCAAGCCTGAGGTCTCTTGGAGTGAAGGTGGAGGAGCTGATGCACTCTGCCTGTACCATTTTTTCTGCTGTAACCTGGGGGTCTTGAAGATTTTATTTAATTTGAATCTTTTAATTCATCAGCTTGTGTTTCCTAATGGGCTTGCTCTTCTATTGCTCATCCGAGATTGATGAGCAGCTGGAGCTGGGCTATACAATGCTTCCACACAGACACAAGATGAAGAAACGGATCCTAAATGTTGCTGGTTTTCAGCTTGTCACTGGTGATTCGAGGATAAGGAGGCGTGCGTGTCACTGTCTTTGTCTGCCACAGAGTCAGGGAGAAGGGGGAAGGGGCTTTCACAGCCGGCTTAGATGTTGCAGCACAGGCAGGCATCTATCCTCTGTGCGCTAAAAGCTGGAGTCAGGGATAGGGTAGGACTCAGATAGGTGGGAGGCTCCAAGCGAAACTGCAGCCCCTGGCCCAGCCATCTCTCGCTGCTCCTCCATCACACCCTGCCTTTGTCTCCTCTTCTCCGTCCCTTTGTCTCCTTCGCGCTTAAGCTGCCTCTGGCTCCCGCCGCATCGGCAGGGGCTGTGCGTGCCGCACCGATAACGCCCTCTGCTCCTCCCCAGCTCAGGCAGTGGAAAGCCTTTGAAGAAGAAAGCCAAACCGTGAGCCAGATGGCAAAATACTTCACCAGTCCGAGCAGGAGCTGCCACTCTGTGTACAGCGAGGAGCAGCTCTACCAGCTGATAGGGGAGAAAAACTCCATGAAGCGGCTGCTCACTGAGGTACGGGGCTCTGCTGTCCCCACTCCAGCTTCTCCCCTTCCTTTTTGTGGGCTTAAGCCTTTGCAGGGTGGGAAGCACTTCCTTATACCCTGCTCCGCACTGGCACTCGCCATCCAGCGGCTTCCCTCCAGAAGGGAAGAGTCGCTTTGTTTTGTCACATCACTCTGCACCCCAGAGCACCAAAATTTAGGCTTAATCTGGAGGGGGAGAGCACGGTTAATTTGGAGGGGAGAGGCTATCTCCCCACCCTTGTGCTTTGTCACCCATGCTCATGAGTGGGAGCTCCTTGGCTCAGACAGCCACCTGCCCCAGTGCACTCCTTCCCACACCTGCATCTGGGGGGCTCTGGAGGTCTCTGGGGAGGGAGAGAGAGATCACGTGCGCTGCTGGTTTGGCTCTTGCAGGCCAGCTGCCATACTGTGTTGGAGCACCACTCTGTGCAGAGAGGGGTGGTTTGTTTTCTGGCAGTGCCTGCTTCCAAATCAGCAGCGTTTTTGTACCCTCCACCTGCCCGACGCTTGACAGGCATATTTGTTTAACACAGAAAAACGCCGTGATTGAAAGCCTGCAGGAGCAAGTGAGCAGTGCCAAGGAGAAGCTGATGAGGCTGATGTCTGGGGAGAGCATCTACGACCCCCATGCACCAGCAGTGGCTCCCTGCATCCAGAGCTCAGGGAGGTGCGAGGCTGCGCCGGAGGACTGCTGCTCCCCAGATCCAGAGAGGGAAGGGTGGCAGCCTCCCCACTCAGCGGGTACACGGCCTCTTTGCAGTGATGCTCAGGAGCACATGCGGCAAGGAGACCCTGTTTCCTCTCAGGCACTGCTTTTTGACATGGAGGATGGCCTCGAACCTGGCCTGAGAGATGCCCAGGAGCGCGGGAGGTCTGCAGGGCAGGGGCAGCCTCCAGAGCAGCTGCCAGGTCAGGACATGTCAGCTGGTGTGGCCTGGGAATCTTCCCCTAAAGTCAGCTACGTGAGCAGTGAGAAGCTGCGGGAGATCTTGCAAGAGCTGAGCCTGGATGGCAAAACTTACAGCCCAGCCTTACCTGGGGGACACCCACATGGTAACCAGCGTCCCCCAGGTGAGCAGGGAGGAGCATGGGGGGCCCAGGAGGACTACCCAGACATCCGCATGCCCCGCAGCCCCTACCTGGCAAGGCGGCGACGGAGAATCCCCCTGCCCTCTGCTCCCACCCACTTCACCAGGCATTTGTCCCCTCGTGCTGGCCACGGGGTGAAGGAGACAGGTGTCTGGGACCGTGGGGAGTCGACATGTATCTCCCTGGGGAGGGAAGGAGAGATGGCTGGTGGAGGGATCCTTCACCCATCAGCACCGTCCCGTCTAGCCGTTCCTGGGGAGGTCTGCCTCCAGCCAGAGGGATGGCCAGGGTGGCCAGAGTCTCAGGGTGCTTTGCCATGCATCCCACGGGAGCAGCATCGGCAGCAGGGCGCACCGAGGGGACCCACCGAGCCCTCCCTGCGCTCACTCTACTATTACCCAGATTCTGACTCCAGCAGCAGCAGCAGCTCTGAGGAGATGTTTCACGGCTGCCACCGGCCCTGCTGTGAGGTTTGCTTCCAGAGCCCACGCGGTTCCCTGGGCAGCAGTAGCACAGACACTGACACAGAGCCTAGCGGCTGTGCGGGCCACTGGACAGAGCACCTCAGCAGGCCTCAACCTGTGGTGAATTTTAAAGAAGATCTGAAACCCACCTTTGTGTGACTGGGAGCACCCCTGCGCTGAAGACAAGTGCGCTCCTGCCCTTGAAACACTGGGTGTTTTCAGTGATGCTAAAGCCATGCACCCCTCCCAGGAGTGCATCTTGTTCCGGCAGCTGGGGGTCGGAAATAAATCTTGCCCTGCTTTGGGTTGCTGTTTCAGCCCCAGCCTGGTCAGCAGTGACTGTGTTTGGCCAAGAGGTGGTTGGCAGCACTCAGAGAGGGTGGTGGTGGTTTTATCTTGCCTGCTCCGGTCAGCTGCCTGCGCCCTGCAGATACCACGTCTGTCTGTCCTGGTGCCAGCAGCGTAAAGACTGAGGCTGACTGGCCTGCAAGAGCGCAAACCTCATCATCTTGGAGAGGCTCCCCTGTGAGCACTGGGTGATTCGCACCAGCAGGGAGCAACACCGCATCTCAGAAACACATGTGGGTTCTTGCACATAGCAGACAGACAGAGGACCCCTTCCCCCAAGGCTGTCGATGCCAGACCTCCCACCAGCATCCCACCCAGCTGGAGGCTGGAGACAGCTGGACTCCAGGAGTGGTTGCAGGCACCCACTCACCTGGGGTACTGCTCCCTGGCAAAACAAGGACCTCTCAGTGGGGCGCATCCAGGAGACTTTTGGGGGTGGGGGTGGGGGGGGCAGGTTTTGGTAGCATCTGAGTGAGAAAGTGGAGTCCAAAGGTGCCATACCTGGAGGTGTCTTTGTGTTTTGTGTAGTTCAGTTGCGTGGTCATAGGAGAGACTCTGGTCAGAGCTGAAGGGAAAGACAAGTTAGCAATTGTAAAAGATGACCTGAAAAGGGTTTTCTTTTTCTTTTTTTCTTTTTTTTGCCTTGGTTTTTTTCAGGCTTGTGCCTTTCTCTCTGTATTTGTATGAATGATGTAGTCTGAAATGAGGTTTGTTTAAATTAATATGGTCTGTTTAAAGTTTATCTTAGAAATATCAAGAACAGTAAATCTGGTCTGCCCACTTTCGTTGGGATATTTGTGAAGGCATTTCAGTGTATTGTTTTCTTCTCAGAAGTTTGAGGTGCTAAGACCTGGTTCCCAGTGCATTAAAAAACCCTCTGAAGAAAGGTTTTATTTAAAGGGCAGGTGACAAGAGGAATCACAAACCCAGTTTTGAATGATGTGTGTTATCACTGCCCTCTCCGTTATCCTTTATGTTTATGAAATCTCTCACTGCTGTGAGTCACTGGTGTCACCTTCCCCTCCCCCCATCACCTCTATGGTTTTCCAAGCTTGCTGAATTCCTAGGGCAAATCAGATACCTATGGCAAACCAAAATCAATAATCTTATGGGGAAAAATATTCCTGTAGCCCCTCTTCACTTCTAAAATGGAAACACTCCAGAGGGTAATCCAAATTTTTTTTTTGGTCAACTTTTGCTAACAGAAAGCAGTTTCCTTTGGTTTTTCTTCCACAGCTGTCTGAGCACTTGTGGCTCTGGCCTGTGTGAAATGCATTGACTGAGGGTCCCCTACTGCTGTGGAGTGAATCCACAGTGGAGACCAGAAACAGAGAAGCTCTGATGGGGTGTGGAAAGCCTCTGTGGTCCCAGCAGAGAGGAAGGCTGCTGGTGTGGGGGCATGCTGAACAAGCCAGGGGTGGGTAGGAGCAGGGCCGGCAGCAGGGGTCGGGGTAGAAAGGCTTGCAACAGGGTGTCCCTCCACACCGCTTTCTCAGGTACCCACAGAAAGCAGCTTTTAATCATCTTAATCCACTCTGTGCCGTGTTGAAACCACTGGGAGCTCATACAGAGCCAGAAAGCAGTTTATATATTTATGACCATCATTTTTGACACGTGTCTGCAGAGCTGGGGTGCCAGCGGGGTCACCCCAAGGCTGCGCCGCCCCGGACGGGGGCCTCTGGCTGCCCCTCTGCAGGGGCGAGGCCCGAGGAGCCCGGTAGGGGTTGGGAGAGTTCTGCCGGTGGGGCTGGGGTGGCTCCTTCCCGACTCGGGGCTTGGGAAAAGCCGGCTGCAGTTTTACAATGCTCGCAGCAGGGGCTGCTGCTGCCCCATCGGGTGCGCAAACAAACCTCCAGCGTCCCACGCAGCGCATCCCGCGGCATCCCCACGCTGGGACATCGGGTGGGACAGGGAGGTGGCTGGGACGCTCTAGGGACCCCATGAAATCTGGGGCAAAGCCACTTCTTCAAATTGAGGCTGACTTCTCACCAGTGCGTTTAGAGTAGCACTTTGGGGCTAGGAAATACCGCAGCACAGTCAAAGGAAATGATCAACCACGACGACACCTGCAAGCAGCTGATATAAAAATTAACTTAAAATCCACTAGCAAATGCAGGAAAATGCTCCGGAGGACTTTGAACGTGTAGTTTGTCAGGAAATTCATCACTGGAATGTGGGGCACTTGCTTTTCTGTCTGGTGACCAGCAACCATGAACTGAAAAGTGCACATTGTGTGGATGCACCTAGTAGGAAGGCCAGTTGCATTCTGGCTTGTATCAGAAATAGTGTGGCCAGCAGGAGTAGGGAAGCGATTGTCTTCCTGTACTTAGCACTGGTCCCGAACCAACAAGTAGTCATGAACCAATTGTTGAACCAGCAAGTGAGCTAAACCATGATCTCACTTCAGAACCAACTGGAACCAAATCTAGAACTTTAAACTGATCTAGAACCTGCTCTAGAACCACCTTCCTACCAAACCCCCAACTCCAGAATTCTTCCCTGCTCTAGAAATGACTGCACCAACACCCTCCTTGCTCTACAACCAACCAAACCCTGAAAACCAGCCTTTGGAAGGGATCTGGACTCTAGGGCCAACCCAGATTATAGGACCCTGGCCTAGGTATGAGGTTCAACAAGGTCAAGTGCCGGGTCCTGCACTTGGGTCACAACAACCCCATGCAACACTGCAGGTGTGGGGAAGAGAGGCTGGAAAGTTGCCTGGTGGAAAAGGACCTGGGGTTGTTGGTCAACAGCCAGCTGAAGATGAGCTGTGGTGTGCCCAGGTGGCCAAGAAAGCCAACAGCATCCTGGCTTTGATGATTCCTCATTCCACTATGAGGAATAGTGTGGCCAGCAGGACCAGGGCACTGGTGAGGCTGTACCTCGAATCCTGTGCTCAGTTTTGGGCCCCTCACTACAAGAAGGTCACTGAGGTGCTGAAGCATGTCCAGAGAAGAGCAACGAAGCTGGTGATGGGTCTGGAGTACAAGTTGTATGAGGAGCGGCTGAGGGAGCTGGGATCAATCAGCCTGAAGGAAAAGAGGCTGAGAGGAGACCTTTTTGCCTTATACAGCTGCCTGAAAGGAGGTTGAGGTGAGATGCGTTTTGGTCTCTTTTCCCAAGTAACAAGAAATAGGACAAGAGGAAATGTCCTCAAGTTGTGCCAGGGGAGATTTAGACTGGATATTTGGAAACGTTTCTTCATCAGAAGGATTGTCAAGCACTGAAATGGGCTGCCCAGGGAAGTGATGGAGTCACCATCCCTGGAAGTATTTAAAATATGCATAGATGTGGTGCTGAGGGCCATGGTTTAGTGGTGTACTTGATAATCTTAAGGGTCTTTTCCAACCTAAACAATTCCATGATTCGACTTTCTACACACACACAGAAGGCTGATGCAGTTCATACGTGCACGAGCATTTGCACACATAAAAACTCACTGGTGCTTTTGATGACTCCCAGCTCTGGCATCCCCTGTATCTTGCAAGGAATTTGCATTTGATTCAGGTGAGGAAGAGCCATAGCACCATGTGGTGGATTGAGTTGCCTGCACATGAGAAGGAAGGACAGAGCAAGATGGTGGCTGCCTTTCTTTGCCATAACTATTATGGGATCTTTGCATCAGGCATTGCACAGGCACACCGAGGAGCTTGCATGCTGCTTAACTTTACGCATCTGGCTTAGGCACTCAATTCAGCATTCAGTGTCCCCCCCAGCTCTTCACTAGGTCTTTGGAGCAGCCTGTCTCTCCCCATTAAGCCATGCAAAGATTCTTAATTAGGGCTTTGCCCTGAACTCAAGATTTCTTAGCAGCTATAGGGGCAGCAGTGCATGTTCTGTGAAGGTGGAGAGGTAGACAGGGAGAGCTGAGAAGAAGGCTTGTGGCAGCAGGACCAGGAGTGCCCTGATTAATAAGTTTTTCTTGCCACTGATAATGGATATAACCTTAGAGAGCCATCTGGCACCCAGGGGGCCTGCAGTATCCATATCCCACATAAGCAATTCTTTCTCCACGGTATCTGCTGTCTAAATCTGCTCCCTTTAGGAAAGGCTGTGCCTCTTTGCAGTTCAAGGCAGAAACTTTCATCTTACGGAAACTGAAATGAAAGATAAGCGATTGGAAGGAGGTCCCCTGCCTGCTCCCAGGTGATTGCTCAACTCAGTGTCTTTACAAATGTGCTCATGGTAGTTCAGGGCATGTGAGAAACTTCTGCAACCCAGAAGCTACAGAGCAGCCCTTTTACACCTTATCCCAGCACCCTGTCCCCATCCAAGCAGTATCTGCCGCAGAGAGGCTGCCTCTTCCAATCACACATGGCGCAGCCACAGCAGTTAATGCCAATGACGTCCTTTGCATGATTTTAGCTTCCTGAGCCACGTTTCCAAGCCATCTCTCCCCTGCTAAGTGTGCACCTCTACAGGCTCCAGCTCCATGACTCCTGCTGCTGCCTGCAAACCATAGGAGGAAACGACAAGTCCACCTCAGGCAGCATCCCTGAGTCCTGCTACACACAGTGGAATAGGAGATGCTCCACGGAGCAAAGCCTTTCCCTGCCCATGGGCCCATTTACAGGTACTGCTCTTCTGTTTAAAAGCTCTGCAGCCTCCACCCACTCCCCTTGACCCCAGGGATGCACTGACAGCCCTATGACCTTTCCTTGCTGACAGCTGTTCGGGAAGGGTCACATCATGCGTGTCTCTGTGTGCCTGCTTGGCAAGAGGTGGGAAGGCAGGAAGCCTTGGGGCTCTTGTAACGCAACCGCCTGCCATCGCTCAGTCTGCCGTGGTTACCCTGTCAGCTTGCGGCTGTT